AATCACCAAAGTGACCGGATTTCAACGAGGAAAACCGCCGATTACATTGCAGCACGTTTACACTGCTACTTAATCCCTGGCCTGTCCATTGTACACTAAAAAATTGTGGCAGATCAGGAGCGTTTCAAATGGGATTGAACAGTGTAAGCGGTTGAATCAGCAATGACAATACAACTACCAGACTTTCTGCTCTAGCCAAATTAGTGGGAGAAAATGGAGAGTAACTGATGCAGATATGAATGAGAGCTCACCCTGAATCTCGAAAGATGAAGGCGAGTGCCGGGTTCCCTCGAAAGCATATGCATGGCTACACAGATTCCCTCTATTATCTCCTCCAAGCGCACGTTATGAACCATCGTCTGAGATCCGCTAAGGGCGGCTCCACTGCCATTGCGCTGTGCAGCCGCTTTGCGCTAGGGGAGGAAATAAAACAGATAAGCCTAACAGAGACATCAAGCAGACTAGCTGGTGGTTAGACGCACCCATGTGAAGAGAAAGGGGAACAAAGAACAAGGCACCCACTAATTACACTAGATTTTTCAATCCAAGGAGGCTAGATTAGCATGTGATTTGCATGAATTTACGGAGTAGAAATGGGAAAAAACAAAGGTTGATAGAACATCAGTGACATGGAACACGATTGTTTAAAAAGGCAAGATGAATTCATTTACATTTGAAGACCAGAAAAAAGTTATTTACGGGGTGAGCAACCTCAATCTTAAGGATATTAATCGGCCACTCACGATGTGTAAATGGGGCAATTTTTTGAACATGGAATAACCCACAGTCTTCAAGAATGGCGTTTTTTGCGAGGTGATACAGCGTTCGAAGAGTGGGCCTACGCACTACCCATAATTCCAACTTTAGCAACAACTAACCCGTGAGATTTAAAATAATTTCTATGTTAGTTAAGTGGTTTGAGATATTTTTGTTGACCATATTGTTCAATTTTATGCAAGCACTTAAGTAGTGCCTTCAGAGTGAGGAAAAATGATTTATGAAGGTAATGGATACACCCCTAATCCCGATTGCGAGTAAGAGGAGAGCGAAATTATCGAGTGAAAGTGCGTGTCCAAGCTGATTGGCGATCTACCAGCTTCCCCATTGGTCACAAAGTGTGTGAGGCGGTCGCGGTGGGTGTTAGCAGCATGCCTTTCACGTGAGTTACGATTTTCGCCCAGCCACTCGCGATGCAAAAAAAACCAAGCCGGCAAGGGTGGAGTGCTCTGCTTAGATTTCATTTTATGCACTCAACTCAACGTCCAGTATCATTACGTTGTAGGTGGTGGTCGTCAGTCATAGATCCTCAAGAATATGGCCAGAAAAATTGTTTGTAAGTTCTATGGGGTGATGGGCGCGATATTTAGGGGATGGTGAAAATCATTCCGCCAAAGTCCCGAGCACAAGGTGAAACTAATTTCCAAGTGTTTCGATCGCACTAATTTGACATGTGGCCACGTTCTGGTAGTTCAATGGTATAAACAAATGCGGAATTGGTCCAGTTATGCACAAGTATTAAATAGTCTAGCTCAGATGACCTGTACCAAAATGACCACTAATAGATAATTAAAGTGGTTTTGCGAAATAAATAAAAAAGCGGTTGTTCCCACGACTTGATCAATTTGTTTAAGTTCTTACTCTGGATCGTTAAATTGAATGCGGCAGTG